ATCTAATATTTACACATTTGCTTGTGGAAGGAATGATGGGGGTAGTTACATTACTATTACGATTTTCCATAACATCTATACCCTTCCATAACATTAGGTGACGTTAAACCTAACAGATAGCACTATAGCTATTTATTGATTAGCAATCTGTCAACGTTGGGATGTAAAAAATATTGGACAACAAATAGCTTCAAATGATAGAATACATAGCAAACATTAGAAAATATTGACAATAACATAAAAGGTTTAGCCTATTAAAATCAATGGCCTATCCAGAAATTAAATAAAGCTATAAAATCTACTTCACTTTTAATTGTATTTGCATATTAATTAAAGTTACCATAGTTATTTAGTGAAGAGAAGCAAATGAACTTCTCATTGTGTTTGGCTTTATAACAGGTGTTAATGTAAGAATGCACAGATCTATAATGAAGCATTCCACTACTTTAGTAACTGTTTGTGCTCATTTAAGAGAAAATTAGTTGTGTTTAAAATAAAGCACGCATGACGGAGCAAAAAACTAAAAAAATAAATAAAATAAGCACTTTTCCGACGGTCCTTTACTGAGAGCTCCGCTCAGCGCGAGCTCTGTCGGCTAAACGCAGATTGCGAGGGCTCAAACGGAGCAGTGCTTGTAATGTCAAGCTAAAAAAAGAAAAAGACAGCTGTGAAATATAACCAGCTTTGTCTTTTTGTAGGAAACACACTTTAGATCTTTTTAGGGTAAGAGGTTTTTGAGTTATTGCCATCAATCGTACTGGTTTTGATTCACCGCAATGTAGCTGCAGCTATGTGACGTTGCGCGACCGAACTTTGTTCACTGTGCGACCCACTAGAGAACCACAGTTTGAAAACCTCTGACCTAATCAACCTAGTTAACCCTTTAAATGTCACTTTAAGCTGTATAGAAGTGTCTTGAAAAATATCTAGTCAAATATTATTTACTGTCATCATGGCAAAGATAAAATAAATCAGTTATTAGGGATGAGTTATTAAAACTATTATGTTTGACGATATCTTCTCTCCGTTAAACAGAAATTGGTGTAAAAGAATAAACAAGGGGGCGAATAATTTTGACTTTAACTGTATTTGGACTTTAAATGTATGTTAAGCTGCTTTGACAGAATCTACATTGTAAAAGCGCTCAAGAAATGAATATGAATTGACTCGAATGCATTCCCTTTTCCCTCTATAGGCATTGCAAGCCTTGCTAACTGAGATGAGAGACACTCTAGCGAACGTCAACAAACCTCCAATCACTAACCCGACCACAAAACCAACAGGTCTGCAAGAGCTTCCTCCGCAGGTCCAGACTTCATACGTGCTCAATCCTCTACCGTTCAACCCCAGCCCTCCTGCAGACCCCAAACCAGCCCCGCAGGCCCCCGTCCCACAGATTAACCTTTTTATCTCTGGTGCTCCCCAGCAGGACAGACCGGCGGCTGCAGAAACTCCCAAACCAGCGCCTCTGCAGCAGTTAATGCTTGCTAATGCAGAGCCAGTCCCCGCCATCCAAAACCCAGCTCAGGTCATGACTCTTCCAGCCCAATATGGCCCCGTCCTGCCCCAGAATGCAATGGTTATGCCAGCTAATAATCTTCCTCAGGCATATCCAAATATAGGGCGTCCTCTTCAGAGTTCTGCATTACTCGGTCCTCATGTCAGCCCATATTTTCAGCCTTTCAACTTTCAGCACTTAAATCCTCTCCTGGGTTCTCAAGGTTTTGGTTCTTACCCTTTTTATCCTCCACCGACGTATTATCATCATCATCATCACAATCCCTACTTCCCAAACTACGGCATGCCTAATGTGGCCATTACACCTCCTATTATATTTCGGGAGCGTGGGCAGCCTGCTACCACACAGGGGTAGTTTTTTAAACCCCGATTCAAAATATTAAAGGTGCTTTATTAGCGTTGATGCTTCAGTATAGATTAGGCATGGGCTGGTATAAGATTCTGACGGTATGATAACCTTGAATTAAAATATCACTGTTTCACGATTTTGTGATTACTGCCCTAAAATAGATTCTTTTTAAGTGTCTGGATAAAAAACAACAACTTTTTTTCTCCTTTGAACACATTATATTTTATTTTTAGAGACATTTATAATATTTTGGAGCAGTAAACATGCCAGGCTAATTAATTAAGATGAATCATTGACTTCTGCTGTCATCATTAGTTTCAAAAACACTGATTTCTTTACAGTTTAATTTGGATATCTTTTCTGCCGCAAATATTTTTGTCCTTAAAATTATTTTTAAAATCGTACACATATGTTACGAAGGGTATAGGAGAAAATTTTGGCAGTTTTGAAACCTTGACTTTTCCAAACCGCGATATACCTTGAAAACGGTTATCGTGGAGAGTATGGTCTGGTCCAAAAATAAATAAATAAAAGATTCTTAATTTAATTTATATTTAATATTATATATAATATATATTATATTTGTCTATCATCTTATTTTAAATACACACACACACACACACATATATGTATATATATATATGTGTTTGTGTGTGTGTGTGTGTGTGTGTTTAAAATAAGATGATAGACAAATAAATAAATAAATTAAAAATGCATTTTAAATATTCTCTTTTTTTGTTGCTGTTTTTACATTTTTCGCATTGATGCTTCAGTGGAGATTATGTTACTGAGGGTTATTACAAGACTTTTGAACTTTTATGACTGACTAATAAATAAATAAATAAAGTAACTAAACTCAATAAATAAACAATTATATTGTAATCAATGTCAAGTTCACCATATGTCTCCTTAGCCAATAAACGGTAAAGAATTGTTCACTGAAAGATTCATCAATGTAAAAACCTGTATTTTTAAGAGTGCAACATTGAATGAGAAATTCAGTAGATGGAAAGATTTCAAACAAAAAGATGGGACTTTTGTTTTTGTTTTAGTGTGTTATTGGATCTATATTCTGCAGCTGTAAAGTGGTTGCAATCTAGCCTATAAAAAGAAAAATGTTTTAATTATTCTAAATAGGGTTTTATTATATTTAAACATTCTTCGCAGTATGAAACAAATGGTGCTTTGATGGTTATTTAGATTATTTTCGGGTGCAAATAAAGTGGCCTCACTGTGAAAACCCCAGGTTTGGTTCTTCCTAACACCTTTATGGTCTTTTATCAGCATTTATGCAAGTATTATTTTGTATTTTTTCATTTAGTTCAATTGTATCAACAAATCTTTTAAATCTATGTCATTTTCTGTTTCATTTTCTGTTGTGCACTTTGCATGAAATGTGCTGCAGTATATAAATATTTCAGCCTGGCCTCTCCATGTAATGTTTGCCAATATAAAACTCAATAAAAATGAAATTAAATTAATTTAAAAGTCTTTGAAATCCCTTTTTTACATCCTAAAATTATGTTTTAATTATGCATAATATGTTTTACTTGTGCATAAAACAGATCCTAAAATATCACAATTTCCTGTATAAACAACCTATTTAAATGAATATTTAGAAAATATTTGTGTTCTTATTAATTTGTTTTTTGCTTTGCTTTCCCCCCCCCCCATTCATTTATTCTAATCAAAAAAGTTTTTTTATTTATTTATTTGAATTTATTTAATTTAGTTTTTTTAAGTAATTTTTTGGATAATTTTGTACATTCATTCATTCATTTTTCTACGGCTTAGTCTCTATTTCAGAGCTTGCCACCGTGGAATGAATCGACAACTATTCTAGCAAATGTTTTACCCTGCAGATGCCCTTCTAGCCGCAAGCCAGTATTGGAAAACACCCATACACTCGTATTCACAAACACTCATACACTACGGCCAATTTTATTCCTTCGTTCATTTTTTTTTCGGCTTAGTCCTTTTATTACTCTTGGGTAGCCACAGTGGAATGAACCGCCAACTTATCCACCATGTATTTTTCGCAGCGGATGCCCCTCTAGCTCCAACCCTTTACTGGGAAACATCCATTCATACTCATTCACACTCATTCACTACGGACAATTTAGCCTATCCAATTCACCTGTACCGCATGTTTTTAGACTTGTGGGGAAAACCGGAGCATCCGGAGGAAACTCATCCGAACATGGGGAGACAACATGCAAATTCCACACAGAAATGCCAACTGACCCAGCCGGGACTCGAACCAGCAATCTTCTTCCTGTGAGGTGACAGTGCTAATCACTGAGCCACCTTGCCACCCTAATTTTGTACATTCATTAATTCATTCATTTTATTTTAAGCGTAGTCCCTTTATTAATCTGGGGTCGCCACAGCAGAATGAACTGCTAACTATTCCAGCATATGTTTTACACAGCAGATGCCATGCAATCCAGAACTGGGAAACACCCATACACTCTCAATCACATGCACACACACACCCTAATATTGTACTTTTAAATATTAATTATAATTAATTTATATTCTTTATATAAAACATTATGACACTGTTGTCAGATAAACTTATTATATATATAATGAATATAGGCTAAAAACATGTAATAACCCTGCTAAAAAATCCAGCTTAAACCAGCCTAGGCTTTCCCAGCTGAAAAAAACAGCATAGGCTGGTTGGCTGGTTGACCAGCTTGGTTTTAGAGGGGGTTTGGCCATTTCCAGGCTGGTTTCCAGCCTGGTCTTAGCTGGTCAGGCTGGAAAATGACCAGCTTGACCAGCCTGGTTTAAGATGGACAAAGCTGGTTTTAGCTGGGCTCCAGCCTGGTTAGGCTGGTCAAGCTGGTTTTAGCTGGTCATCTCCCAGCTAAGACCAGGCTAGAAACCAGCCTGGAAATGGCCAAAACCCCTCTAAAACCAGGCTGGTCAACCAGCCTATGCTGTTTTTTTCAGCTGGGAAAGGTTTATTTGACAACCGTGTACCTATGACTCGAGTCTGCATTTAGTAAAAAAGAAAAAAAAAAGAAAAGCAGTACTAGCATTAAACAACTAAAAAATAAAGGAATAAAAATGAATAATGTGCTTGAGAAAAGAGTAATTTTCATGTTTAGACCAGCAGGCTGCGACATCATTCAGCTCAGCTGCGATAACCACAAGTCGCCAGTCGATGACGTCAGTGCACCAACTTTCCGAAGAAAGCTGAATAGATGCTTTACATGAGAACAGAAGTTAGTGAAAATACGTTTAATGTTTCCAAATGCGATTTCCGGACCTCGAAAGCCTTATTATTTTATCTGTAAGACATGTATATTGATTGTTTATAAGTGACGTCGGCAGCATGTGCAAATGTAAACTCCGTTCATTGACATGGACCGTATTTATGACAGTCCTGATGATAAAACAGCAGCAGTCTGTAATTTCTTCATCTGTGGAGGTTCGAGTGAATGTTGACAAACCACTACGAAAATTGGAGCACTTTTGGAGAAGCACTGGATTCTGGTAAGATGTGTAATGTGTAACATTCTTCATCTACGGGCGCTCACTATTAGCCATGTGAAGTTGAGTTTTTTTACTTGTTCAAAATTAACGTAACAGCCTCATAAGTTTAAACAGTTTGTCTAATTTTGAGATCTGTAAGAGGACAGACTTAGATTAAAAGAGAAACATCTTTCCATCGTGAACTGAACAAATGTCAATTCATCTCAATATACAGCTTTTATTAAATATCAAATAAATTATGGCAGTCAAACATTGTCTAAGATCATTTTTGTATCTAGTTTAACCAATCTTTCCACAATTTATATAATAATTATTAATTTGTCAATGAAATAAATGAGCTGTATGCTGAATTGTACACCTGTCACACTCGACAGTTTAATATTAATTTGGGAAAGAGCTTATTAGAAAATAAATAAACTTAATTTGTATATTAAATAAAGCATGAACATATACATTGTGAATACACTTTTAATGTGTCACAAGAACTGTTTAAATGTTTCTTTAAAATGTGTGTGGTGGTGGAAATGACATTTCAACAGTTTATTGTGATAAAATGAAAAATAGCTTCACCGATTAGCTTTGAATTGATACAAGCCTTTCATGTATACAAAACTCTCTTATTTATCTGAAATTTGTTTGGTTTTTAATAACATCTTTGAAGGTACAACATGTTTGGAAATGAAGTAGAATAAATGTATTTCCTTATCAAGCAATCTTTACCTTGATTTTTCTTCAAGTGTTTTTGATCAAAATTTAAATGTCCTCTATCTAGATGTTCTTACATGGCACTATTAATTTTCATAGAAACCACCTAAATAATCTTTCACACAAACTTTTTAAAGCGACATTACAGTGTTGTGGTGAAATGACACTGATACCTCACAGTGACCTCATGTTACGTGACGTTCATCAGCTTACCTATTCAAATAAAAAGAACAAAACTGCTTAGGAAAAAGTAAAAAAAAAAAACAACAACTTTCAATTATGATTCATATTACCGTTTTTAGCAATGCCTAATCAATATTTATTTACATCTTAAAATCTCAAATTTGGTTGGTGGATTTCATGACTGTTTAATAAACTTTTATTACTGCAATTTTAGGATGATCCTAACAATGATTATGTACTGAAATATCACATTGTTTACGCGTGTATTCCAAAAGCACACAGTACTATAGGAGATACTAGGATGAAATTCATTAATTCATTCATTCATTCATTTTCTTGTCGGCTTAGTCCCTTTATTAATCCAGGGTCGCCACAGTGGAATGAACCACCAACTTATCCAGCAAGTTTTTACGCAGCGGATGCCCTTCCAGCCGCAACCCATCTCTGGGAAATAGGATGAAGTTACCTAGTTCAAAAGAAGTTCACCCCAAAATAAATATTGTCATCATTTACTACTTTATCATTTACCTGTTTGAGTTTTTTTTTTCTTCTGTTAAACACAAAAGGAGATATTTTGAAAAATGCTGAAAGGCAGCAGGCATTTGTTTTTCCTACTATGCATGTCAATGGTAACCAGTTTCCAACATTCTTCAAAATATTTTCTTTTGGGTTCTTATAAAGAAACTCATAAATATTTAGAACGACTGGAGAGTGTTTTTTGGGTGACTAACAAACAGCATTACCTGTTAAATCTGCTCATGTTTGTGTCCTGTTTTTGCAGTCCTCCGCAGCCGCACACGGATGCACACCTGTATGATCTCAGTCCAGACCAGCAGATGAATCTGGCCTTGATCGGCTCAGTGCCACACAGAGGAATCCAGCAGGTGCGAATACACTGGATGCTGGAGCTGGTGTCTGCACGGTCAGTTACACCAGACTGATTCTGAATTTGAATGAATAAAATGTTATACAATTTACATACTTGCTAGAATATAAAATATGTGTGGCATATAATATATGAATACATAGATAATAAAGGTCCCGTGAAGTGCCGTTATAGGCTCATCTTTGCTTGCTAAGTCTGTGCAAACATGCAAGGATATGTTTTTTTCGTGGTTCTGTACAGGAGCTCAGGGTACAGATACATATCAACACAAGGGGACAGAAAGACATTTAAATAATTGGAAAACAAAGTAAACAAGAGAAATATGTATGCTAAAAGTATTTATATAAAGTTATTAAGGAAATAAAAATATTTATATAAAGGTATTCGCTAATAAGTAGCTTGTTATATTGGCAATTAAATAGTAAGCTTCATTTCAATGGTTGACTACATTTACATTTGTGCATTTAAGACCCCTCGGAAAACAAGCTCATGTACATGCATAGATGCATAAAATCTAAACCCGATACACACAGTACAGACCATTATTAAACCTGACAGGGCACACCTGTGAAGTGAAGACCATTTCATGTGACTACCTCTTGAAGCTCATATAGAGAATGCCAAGAGTGTGCAAAGCAGCAATCAAAGCAAAAGCTGGCTACTTTGAAGAACCTAGAATATGACATTTTCAGTTGTTTCACACTTTTTTGTTATGTATATAATTCCACATGTGTTCAATCATAGTTTTGATGCCTTCAGTGAATCTACAATTTTCATAGTCATGAACATAAAGAGAACTCTTTGAATGAGAAGGTGTGTGTCCAAACCTTTGGTCTGTAGTGTACCTGTAAAATTGTAACTGATATATTAAATTTTAACTGGTGTATATATATATATATATATAGTCAGAATTATTAGCACCCCTGTTTATTTTTTCCCCCCAATTTCTGTTTAACGGAGAGAAGATTTCTTCAACACATTTCTAATCATAATAGTTTTAATAACTTATCTCTAATAACAGATTTATTTTATCTTTTCCTTGATCAAAGTAAATAACATTTTACTAGATATTTTTCACGACACTTCAATACAGCTTAAAGTGACATTTAAAGGCTTAACTAGGTTAATAAGGTTAACTAGGCAGGTTAGGGTAATTAGGCAAGTTACTGTATAATGATGGTTTGTTCTGTAGACTATCAGGAAAAAATATTGCTTAAAGGGGCTAATAATTTTGTCCTTAAAATGGCTATTAAAAAATTATAAACTGCTTTTATTGTTGCCGAAATATGACAAGTAAGATTTTTTCCAGAAGAAAAAATATTATCAGACATACTGTGAAAATTTCCTTGCTCTGTTAAACATCATTTAAGAAATATTTAAAAAAAGAAATTAAAAATCAAAGGCGGGCTAATAATTCTGACTTCAACTGTGTGTGTGTGTGTGTATATATATATATATATATATATATATATATATATATATATATATATATATATATATATATATATATATATATATATACACACACACAAATAAATTATATATTATATACATCTAGTTTCTGCCGATTCTCCATGCATCACTGTTATAATTGTTCTGGTATAGATATTTTGTCTCTGACTTTCACATAGGGTTTATGGCGGAGAATATCACTACAACTTCACTCACCTAGACCAGCTGATTGACCTTCTGTGGCAGAATGGACTGCAGCCAGGTATGCAAAGCAACAAACAGTTTTTGTGTTGTGCTGAATTCACTTTTTATTTGTTTACTACACTGTAAAAACTTGCTGTGATTTTTACCAGTAATCGTTTGTACAATCTACAGTGAAAACCTTTTAAATAATAACAACCAATTTCCAGATAAAATACAGAAAATAAATGTAACTGATCTATCCTTTGTTTTTCAAGAAATGATGCAGTGTCTCAAATCTCACCACACCCTTATTCACTAGTCCCTACATTATTTCATTAATATAGTCCATGCTGGACACACACTAGAAGATAATCAAGCTGATTTTGAGACAAATTTTGCACCTTGGAGCCGGCCCGGTTATTAACAACCACAGAAGGGAGGGCTGTCAGAAAACCCCGGTGGGCAATTTTTGGGGGTGGGGCTAGGAGACGGAATAGCAAAAATATTGAGGTAATAATGTTCTTGATTGGAGATGCATATTATATTAAATCAATATAAGCACAAAGATGGTTTCAATGAAGAGTTATTTTGAAATCCAGTCAACATGCAGAATGGATGATTACTAGACTAAGTCGTCCACAAATTCAAGCAATATTATCCATTCATTCATTCATTTTCTTGTCGGCTTAGTCCCTTTATTAATCCGGGGTTGCCATAGTGGAGTGAACCAAGCCAACATATCCAGCACGTTTTTACACAGCGGATGCCCCTCCAGCCGCAACGCATCTCTGGGAAATCAAGCAATATTCTAATTGTTTTAAAGATAGAATGAAGTTTGTGTAAAAGAATTATATTCAGGTAATATTTTGATAAGGGAAATTCAGAATTATGCATAGTTGTATTCTGATATCATCCCTGTCTTTTGCATTGAGGACCAGGACCATAGCCCCTCCTCAAACGCCCCCCCACTCCCACTTATTTATAATATTTATTATAAATAAATATTTAAAACCATATATTTATATTTATTTTAAATAAATACAAGTATTATTATTATTGATATTATTATTCTTATGATACAAATAATATTCTAAATTAATCACAGAAATCAGTTCTAAATGTAACTGAAAAACAATGTAAAGACACAACTGGAGTGATATGCTAAGACAATTTATGAAATCTTTTGCAGGAATTTCTATAGAATAATATAGAATACAAAAAAACTGGTATATTTTATAGAATTATCTGTTATCTGACTCACAGAGAACTTTTAGTCTTACCTCCCTGACTCATCATGCCTCCTTTCTGCTCCATAGCCATGCTTAGTCGAATTAAGATCATCATCATTTTATTTAACTTTAGTTTTGTCGACTTACAAAACTCACTGTGTGCCGACACCTGTATGAAAGACTTTTGCACCAGTTGCACACTGTATGAGCAGCTTTTTTTTTTTGGCATGCAAGTTAACAATAGAAATTCACCCCAGGAGCAAGAGCTTCTGCGTGTTATACTTTTCTGTGCGCATGTGTAAGTTTGTTTTTGATTAAACTACATCGATTTTATCAGCGTTGGTTGGGTTGTACATAGAGAAAAACGTGGTTATTCTGGGATTACGGCTCTGTATAAATACACTGGCATAAAATGTAAATCGTATCTCAAAATATTTACTGGTGCACTGCCAAGTTTTTACCGGGGCATATGCCTCAGAATGGGATCTAGCGACACTCCTGGGCCACTTTATCTTCACTGTGGTTGGAACCTGACAGGCTTTTTAAAGGCACAAAATATTCATGCATTGCAATTGAAAGCAAAGAATTTATGAATTGCGTGACTCGATGTAATCTATGGCTGTAACAGACTGAAGCCAAGCAGCCTCGCCTCACGCATGTGGAGCGTGCTATTACTCACAGCCAATCAAATTGTGCGGTGTTTCGTTATGATTGGTCAGAGCTTTCAATGCCTCTTTTTCAACACAGAGCTCGCCTTACTGATTTTCTAAAATCACAAATCGTACAAAAGAAAATAAAAACATATTTGTATACTACTTTCTTTTTGATTGGGTGGGCCTAGAGCCGGCCGTTGACCATGCCTAGAGCCGGCACTGCCTTGGAGAAGAATTCACTTTTTATTTGTTTACTACACTGTAAAAACTTGCTGTGATTTTTACCAGTAATCGTTTGTACAATCTACAGTGAAAACCTTTTAAATAATAACAACCAATTTCCAGATAAAATACAGAAAATAAATGTAACTGATCTATCCTTTGTTTTTCAAGAAATGATGCAGTGTCTCAAATCTCACCACACCCTTATTCACTAGTCCCTACATTATTTCATTAATATAGTCCATGCTGGACACACACTAGAAGATAATCAAGCTGATTTTGAGACAAATTTTGCACCTTGGAGCCGGCCCGGTTATTAACAACCACAGAAGGGAGGGCTGTCAGAAAACCCCGGTGGGCAATTTTTGGGGGTGGGGCTAGGAGACGGAATAGCAAAAATATTGAGGTAATAATGTTCTTGATTGGAGATGCATATTATATTAAATCAATATAAGCACAAAGATGGTTTCAATGAAGAGTTATTTTGAAATCCAGTCAACATGCAGAATGGATGATTACTAGACTAAGTCGTCCACAAATTCAAGCAATATTATCCATTCATTCATTCATTTTCTTGTCGGCTTAGTCCCTTTATTAATCCGGGGTTGCCATAGTGGAGTGAACCAAGCCAACATATCCAGCACGTTTTTACACAGCGGATGCCCCTCCAGCCGCAACGCATCTCTGGGAAATCAAGCAATATTCTAATTGTTTTAAAGATAGAATGAAGTTTGTGTAAAAGAATTATATTCAGGTAATATTTTGATAAGGGAAATTCAGAATTATGCATAGTTGTATTCTGATATCATCCCTGTCTTTTGCATTGAGGACCAGGACCATAGCCCCTCCTCAAACGCCCCCCCACTCCCACTTATTTATAATATTTATTATAAATAAATATTTAAAACCATATATTTATATTTATTTTAAATAAATACAAGTATTATTATTATTGATATTATTATTCTTATGATACAAATAATATTCTAAATTAATCACAGAAATCAGTTCTAAATGTAACTGAAAAACAATGTAAAGACACAACTGGAGTGATATGCTAAGACAATTTATGAAATCTTTTGCAGGAATTTCTATAGAATAATATAGAATACAAAAAAACTGGTATATTTTATAGAATTATCTGTTATCTGACTCACAGAGAACTTTTAGTCTTACCTCCCTGACTCATCATGCCTCCTTTCTGCTCCATAGCCATGCTTAGTCGAATTAAGATCATCATCATTTTATTTAACTTTAGTTTTGTCGACTTACAAAACTCACTGTGTGCCGACACCTGTATGAAAGACTTTTGCACCAGTTGCACACTGTATGAGCAGCTTTTTTTTTTTGGCATGCAAGTTAACAATAGAAATTCACCCCAGGAGCAAGAGCTTCTGCGTGTTATACTTTTCTGTGCGCATGTGTAAGTTTGTTTTTGATTAAACTACATCGATTTTATCAGCGTTGGTTGGGTTGTACATAGAGAAAAACGTGGTTATTCTGGGATTACGGCTCTGTATAAATACACTGGCATAAAATGTAAATCGTATCTCAAAATATTTACTGGTGCACTGCCAAGTTTTTACCGGGGCATATGCCTCAGAATGGGATCTAGCGACACTCCTGGGCCACTTTATCTTCACTGTGGTTGGAACCTGACAGGCTTTTTAAAGGCACAAAATATTCATGCATTGCAATTGAAAGCAAAGAATTTATGAATTGCGTGACTCGATGTAATCTATGGCTGTAACAGACTGAAGCCAAGCAGCCTCGCCTCACGCATGTGGAGCGTGCTATTACTCACAGCCAATCAAATTGTGCGGTGTTTCGTTATGATTGGTCAGAGCTTTCAATGCCTCTTTTTCAACACAGAGCTCGCCTTACTGATTTTCTAAAATCACAAATCGTACAAAAGAAAATAAAAACATATTTGTATACTACTTTCTTTTTGATTGGGTGGGCCTAGAGCCGGCCGTTGACCATGCCTAGAGCCGGCACTGCCTTGGAGAATGAATTCACTTTTTATTTGTTGACTACACTGTAAAAACTTACTGTGATTTTTACCAGTAATCATGTGTACAATCTACAGTGAAAACTTTTTAAATTAATAACTAATTTCCAGATAAAATACAGAAAATAAATGTAACTGATCTATCCTTTGTTTTTCGAGAAATGATGCAGTGTCTCAAATCTCACCACACCCTTATTCACTAGTCCCTACATTAGTTCATTAATATAGTCCATGCTGGACACACACTAGAAGATAATCAAGCTGATTTTGAGACAAATTTTGCACCTTGGAGCCGGCCCGGTTATTAACAACCACAGAAGGGTGGGCTGTCAGAAATCCCAGGTGGGCAATTTTTGGGGGTGGGGCTAGGAGACAGAATAGCAAAAATATTGAGGTAATAATGTTCTTGATTGGAGATGCATATTGTATTAAATCAATAGAAGCACAAAGATGGTTTCAATGAAGAGTTATTTTGAAATCCAGTCAACATGCAGAATGGATGATTACTAGACTAAGTCGTCCACAAATTCAAGCAATATTATTCATTCATTCATTCATTTTCTTGTCGGCTTAGTCCCTTTATTAATCCGGGGTTGCCATAGTGGAGTGAACCAAGCCAACTTATCCAGCACGTTTTTACACAGCGGATGCCCCTCCAGCCACAACGCATCTCTGGGAAATCAAGCAATATTCTAATTGTTTTAAAGATAGAATGAAGTTTGTGTAAAAGAATTATATTCAGGTAACATTTTGACGAGAGAAATTCAGAATTTTGCATAGTTGTATTCTGATATCATCACTGTCTTTTGCATTGAGGACCAGGACCATAGCCCCTCCTCAAACGCCCCCCCACTCCCACTTATTTATAATATTTATTATAAATAAATATTTAAAACCATATATTTATATTTATTTTAAATAAATACAAGTATTATTATTATTGATATTATTATTCTTATTATACAAATAATATTCTAAATTAATCACAGAAATCAGTTCTAAATGTAACTGAAAAACAATGTAAAGACACAACTGGAGTGATATGCTAAGACTATTTATGAAATCTTTTGCAGGAATTTCTATAGAATAATATAGAATACAAAAAAACTGGTATATTTTATAGAATTATCTGTTATCTGACTCACGGAGAACTTTTAGTCTTACCTCCCTGACTCATCATGCCTCCTTTCTGCTCCATAGCCATGCTTAGTCGAATTAAGATCATCATCATTTTATTTAACTTTAGTTTTGTCGACTTACAAAACTCACTGTGTGCCGACACCTGTATGAAAGACTTTTGCACCAGTTGCACACTGTATGAGCAGCTTTTTTTTTTGGCATGCAAGTTAACAATAGAAATTCACCCCAGGAGCAAGAGCTTCTGCGTGTTATACTTTTCTGCGCTCATGTGTAAGTTTGCTTTTGATTAAACTACATTGATTTTATCAGCGTTGGTTGGGTTGTACATAGAGAAAAACGTGGTTATTCTGGGATTACGGCTCTGTATGAATACACTGGCATATAATGTAAATCGTATCTCAAAATATTTACTGGTGCACTGCCAAGTTTTTACCGGGGCATATGCCTCAGAATGGGATCTAGCAACACTCCTGGGCCACTTTATCTTCACTGTTGTTGGAGCCTAACAGGCTTTTTAAAGGCACAAAATATTCATGCATTGCAATTGAAAGCAAAGAATTAATGAATTGCGTGACTCGATGTAATCAATGGCTTTAACAGACTGAAGCCAAGCAGCCTCGCCTCACGCATGCGAAGTGTGCTATTACTCACAGCCAATCAAATTGTGCGGTGTTTCGTTATGATTGGTCAGAGCTTTCAATGCCCCTTTTTCAACACAGAGCTCGCCTTACTGATTTTATAAAATCACAAATCGTACAAAAGAAAATAAAAACATATTTGTATACTACTTTCTTTTTGATTGGGTAGGCCTAAAGCCAGCCATTGACCATGCCTAGAGCCGGCACTGCCTTAGAGAATCCTATAATTAATGTCTAGATTATTTGAGTAGTTCCTGATTATTTGGGAGTTCTGAATATTATTTAACATTACACAATTCTGAGTGTGCTTCACACAGGTGAGTGGGCTTGACAAACCACCTGTAGAAACCTCTCTCATCTCTCTGACATTATAATCGACATTTGCACCCATATCACCCCATATCTCTTAAAAAAAAACAATGTACACTTATGAAGTGTGCTTAACACAGGTGAGTGAACCACCCGAAGAAACAGTAGAAACACTCTTCTCTAAATAATAGTAAAACACTTCCCCTCTTTTCTTGTGTGTATAAGTGGCTTATATAAATAGTGTCAAATCCCCTATAACCACAAAAACGAACAATGGGCCCTACATATCATACAGCCGGCACAATGTGGCGCAAGGCGCGATGCAATTGTTTTTTTTCTAGTTTCAGCTTGGCACACGAGTGGTTTTGATGTTTTGCGCTACTCTGTTTAAATAGCAAATGCATTTGCGCTCATATGTGCGCCCATAGGTGTTCTGGTCTAAAAAGGAAGGCGTTTTGAGCTGTATTAATGGCACGTTGCTATTTTGAGAAACTACATAATAGATTTTTCAATAGACCAAAACAAAGCCGATCTAAAGTCCAGCTCAGAGCACATTAGTTTTGCGCCTCGCTTACACACTGCTTAACACACAAGATGTAGAGCAATACGCCTAAATTAAAATATTAAGGATATATATTATATATAATGAGAATATATATATATATATATATACTGTATATATATATATAGGATATAAATATAAAGAAATAAAATATTACATACCATATTATTTTATTTTATTTTACACATTTCGTTATTATTGTTCATTTATTCGTTTGCTGGAAATTAGAACTGAATTTAGAAATAGTTTTGAAACAAATATTTGCGCTTAACAAACGAATTTAATTATGTATAGGCTAATGGATGTCTGTGCGTAAAGGTTTCCCTATCCACGAGAGCGAAAGTGAAAGTAGATAATGAGGAGGTTTATCTCTCATTCTCGCGCTGCAGATGCTCTGTTTAACTGTTTTCTTGCTAGTGAAATGCTCAGTTTTTCCCATTTACACTTACTTTACGTCATGTAAATAGCCAATGCGCTAAGGCGCGACACAACTGGCTCTTAAAGGGAATGGGAGACTCTGATTGGTTTATTCTCAAAACACACCTATAACTCATTAAGAAAATAAGCTCAAGCCTTTTAGATCATGCGCCACGGCGCAAAGCAGATTTTTCCGTCCTTATATTAGCAAAAGTGGATTCTGACACGCCCTGAATGCATAAAAATTGAGCCCTTTGTTAGTTTGCACCCAGCATGAGTAGCTCTAAGATTTTAAACATTGTTCTTCAGATGTTTTTGAAATAGTCAAATGCTTATTAATTCTGCCTGTGTGTTAATAAAGGCTTTGAACTGATGGGCAGCGTCTCCAACACCTTCAGCAACTTTGAAGATAAGCAACAAGTTGCTGAATGGAGAAATTTGGTCTATCTGATCGCCAAACGATACATCTGTGAGTCTCAGAGCAGTGATGAGTTATGAATGACGTTAATCTCTTATTTACTATAAGCCTGGCCTTTAACCACAAAGCTCTAGACATTTTGTTTTTGCTGTTGTGTTTGTAAACAGGGAAATACGGCCTGGGCTTTGTTTCTCAGTGGAACTTTGAGACTTGGAATGAACCGAACAATCATGATTTTGACAACATCACTGTGTCAATTCAAGGTAGGCTTATTATGATGGCATCAAATTTTCTGTCAATCAGTCTGTCTGTCGGACACAATCTGCTAGAACTTTCCATTGACTGTGCCAAAAGCCTGTCAGCATTAGCAGCATTTCATTTTATTTTATTTATTCATTTTATATAACAATAAGCCTCTTTTCTTTGACTCATCATGATGAGTGCAGTGTTTTTTGTTGTTGTTGTGTCAAGTTAATAATAGTTGTCAAATTAAAAAGAAATGTCTTGAGAGTCCATGGGCCTGTGTGTCAAGTGGGTAACCTAACCTCAGACCCTGTAATAGCATCTGTATTTGTGTGGTGTCTGCATTTTTGTTGTACCATGTAGAGAGGAGGAATGATTCATGTGCACCAAACTGAACCAAGGTCCATGTCTTTACATTTGGAAAATATGAAGTTAAATAAAAGTAACCTCTTTGAGCTGTCTTAACACTGCTTTGTTCACAAAGTCTGCAATTTTTAATTTTGTAAACTTCCTCTCTTTTTCTTTTTTAGCAGATTTTAAAACGCTATTTATTCCTGTGATATCAAGCTAAATTTACATTAGTCTTTAGTGGCACATGATTCTTCAGACTAATCATATTCAATTCAATTAATCTGTTTTCCAATGTGTTTTTTACAATGTAGATTGTGTCAAAGCATTATTACAGAACAAATCTTACCATTATTATTTTTCAAATAAAAAAATGATACATTAAACAAGTAATACATTTATTCAGGATGTTTTCGAATAAGGCTGCACGGTGGCGCTTTGTGTGGAGTTTGCATGTTCTCCCCGTGTTCGCGTGGGTTTCCTCCGGGTGCTCCAGTGTTGTTCTGCTGTGAAAAGCTACCAGCACTTTAAGAGTCCAAAAAAAAGCATATTTAGGCAAAATATTATTTTTAACCCTGGCTTTTAAAAATAATATTAATAATAATAATAACGAAAATAATAATAATTATGAATGGTTAAATAAAATAATACTAAAAATAACAATAATAATAATAATAATTATTAATAAAAAAATAAATAATTATAAAAAATAAGAATAATAAGAATAATAATAACTAAAATAATAATAATAAATGGTTAAAAATATTAAATAATAATAAAACTAACAATAATAATGATAATGAAAATGATAATAATAAATGGTTAAAAATAAATTAATAATAAAAACAAAAACAATAATTAATTATTAAAAAATAATAATAATAAAAATAGCACCAATAATAATAACAACAAAAATAATAATAAAAATGATTAAAAATAAAGTAATAATAAAATAACAATAATAATAATTATTAATAATTTAAAAATAAAATAATAATAATGAAAATAACACAAATCATACTGATGAAAATAATTATAATAAATGGTTGAAAATAAAATTATAAAAATAGCAACTATAATAATAATTAATAATAATAAAATAACACTAATAATAATAACAACAAAATAATAATAAAAATGATTAAAAATAATAATAAAAATAACACTAGCAATGATAATTAATAATGTAAAAATAAAATAATAATATAAAATAATAATTAAAAGAACAACAATAATAATCATGAAAATAATAATAATAAGAATAATAACAAAAAGAATAATAATTAATAATTTAAAAATAAAATAATAAAAATAACACTAATAATAACAAAATTAATAATAATAATAAGAAATGGTTAAAAGATAAAATAATAAAAATAACAATAATAATTAATAATTTAAAAATAAAATAATAATAATAAAAATGACACTAATAATAATAATGAGAATAATAATAATAAATGGTTAAAAATAAAACAATAGAAATAAAAATAACAATAATAATAATTAATAATTTAAAAATAAAATAATAATAATAATAATAACACTAATAATAATAATAATAATAATATATTTTGTTGAAAAAAAAGTGTATCTTTATAACAATAAAACTCATAGTTGTGTTTATATGACTCTCTAAGTGCTGGTAAGTATTGTCTTGTACTTTGAACTACAGAAGACCACAGTTTCAGCTAAAAACTTTTTTGTGATTTACTATAGAACATATTTTTTAGTAATTATAGCAGCAACTGTATTTAAAGAGCTGTTTTTGTGTGGCATCTCTGCACATGGTGTCCTCAAACACTGAAATTGAGCTTTTTTTTGTGGTGTTTACAAACAAGAAAGTGTCTGTCAGGTTTAATTTAATGCTGCCACATGGAAGAATTAGTGGTTCTGCTGAGGACAGAATACCAGCTTCATTGTCAGGATTATTTTTTTCCGGCTCCAGGGTTTCTGAACTATTATGATGCCTGTTCTGAGGGCCTTCGTGCAGCGAGTCCTCTGTTGAAATTTGGGGGTCCGGGAGACTCCTGTCACTCACAGCCACGCTCCCCGTACTGCTGGGAGATGCTGAAACACTGTTACAATGGCACAAACTACTTCACAGGAGAGAGCGGCGTACGGCTCGACTACATTGCACTACACAAGAAGGTACATTTATTTTTTTAATTAGTTTTAATTTCAGCTGGGAAATAAGTATTGAACACTATTTTTCTCAGAAAACATTTTAGGTGCCTTTGACTGGAAATTTTTACCAGATGTTGGTAACAAAGAAATACATACAGTTGAAGTCAGAATTATTAGCCCCCCTTTGATTTTTTTTCTTTGTTAAATATTTCCCAAATTATGTTTAACAGAGCAAGGAAATTTTTACAGTATGTCTGATAATATTTTTTCTTCTGGAGAAAGTCTTATTTGTTTTATGTTGACTAGAATAAAAGCATTTTTTAATTTTTTACAAACCATTTCAGGGACAAAATTATTACCGTCTTTAAGCTATATATTTTTCCAATAGTCTACAGAACAAACCATCGTTATACACAACGGTAGGGCTTTGCAGTGCACATGCCTCAAATTTTCTCTTGCCTTTTTAGTGGCCGTTCACTTTTTGATGAACCCCCAGACCCACACTCCCCTCGCTCTTCACTTTGCGATCACGATTGTTAATATGCTTAAATTATATTTTTTTTACAGTATCATTGCTTTAATATGAGATTAACTTCTTATTTATGTGGTGAACTGATGATCTGAGACCTTTAGCCTGGACAGACTATAGTGCACAGTTTTAGACACATGACAGGTTTTTTTTTAAATGTCAATTGTTTGTTTTTAAGGAAAGCATTGCTATATCTTGCTAGTTTTTGAATTTTTTAAGCTATTTAAAATTTGTGGCTAAGAATTTTTTCTCAGTGTAGCCAGAGGAAAATGTGTTACAACAACATGAAACCATTACCGCTTTGTTTATGCGCATTGAGCAAAGTCACACACAACACACAAAACAGTCAAATGAAGTCATGTGGACATATCACAATATCTAAATTAAGTCATTTTAGCATGCAAAAGTCAATTAATGCATAAAAACAGATTTCCCCAACAACAAAATTGTGGCTAGTGAAAATATTGAAAAATGACTAGCCATAGTGGCTGTTGATCAAAAAAGTTAATGTCGAGCCTTGATTATCCGGAGGATGAAGATGAACACAGGGTGGACATTTCAGCAAGACGATGATCCAAAATACAGCCAAGGAAACTCTCAAATGCTTTCAGAAAAAGAAAATCAAGCTGTAGAATGACCCAGCCAATCACCTGACTCAAATTCAATAAAACATACAAATTTGAGATCAGATTTGATAGAAGAGACCCACAGAACCATTAAGATTTTGAAACTGACACTCTCACTTTGACACAAAAACTCACACCTGAGCAATGCATGAAAGGCATATTCCACATGAGAGGCGTCTTTAAGCTGCCATTACCAAACATGTTTCAGTAGTTCAGCACTTTCTCCTTGTGTCATTCCATTGTTAATACACACAACTAATGTTTCAGATTTGTTTTGGTTTATTTTTATGTTTGTATTGTTTGAGTTTTTACTGAAATTTGGTTAAATTCCATGTCAACAGCTCCTGTAAAGATATTATTCAAAGGAAAAAACATGACGTGTTCAATACCTATTTTCCCCGCTGTATTTGACAGTCACATGCACAACAATACATTGATAGACCTTAAAAAAGAAATACGTTTTGTGGCAGGCTTTAGCAAAAACTGCTATATTCTCCTGCAGTGCCTGGACTGGTAGATCTTAAAACACTCAAAAAAAAAAAAGAGAGATGGAAAACATATTGCAACTTTAAAACACTGTATCTTACTGATAAATGACAAAAGATTACTCGTATTTGTGATTATTGTGCTATGTATGTTGTGTTTCAGGGCGGGGGAGGCTCATTACCCATCCTGCAGCAGGAGGTGTCCACTGTGCAGGAGATCCAGCAGCTTTTTCCAGACTTTCGCTCGCTGCCGATATACAATGACGAGGCGGATCCACTGGTGGGCTGGAACAAACCGCTCACCTGGAGAGCAGACGTCACCTATGCAGCCATGGTGCTTAAAGTGAGGATTGTGCTTTTGCTTTATTTTTATTATTACAATTTTTTTCTTCATTACATTCTTTGGATGGAACAACAAACCAGCAAATTGAAACAGTAATTTTATAAATTAACATTTAGGGCCCTATCATACAGCCGGCGCAGTGGGGCGCAAGGCGTGGCGCAGTAGTCTTTTGGTAGTTTAAGCTTGGCGCAAGAGTCGTTTTGAGGCGTTGCACTATGCTGTTTAAATAGCAAATGCATTAGCGCTCATATTTGCGCTCATAGCGTAGCGCGTTCTGGTCTAAAAAGGAAGGCGTTCTGTGGCGGACCGCTGGCGCTTTGCTATTTTGAGAAACTAAAATAAATTTTTCATTAGACCAAAACAAACCCGGTCTAAACTCCAGCACAGAGTTGCGCCTCGCTTACGCACTGCTTAATACGCACAAGAGAGCAATAGGCAAATATCTTTACATATGAAAAAATGTAAATATTAAGGATATATATAGGATATAATAAGAATAGATATAGAATATAAATATAAAGGATTAAAATATTACAAAACATTATTTTCTAGCCTACATAAATATGAAAAATCACTGCTTTTGTCTTCTTCATCTCGGGAGGCTTTTTCAGTTCATTCATAACAATTTGCTTTTGTATAATGTTATTATTATTAGCAGTATTATTTATTATATCCATATTATATTTGTTTTATTAAAAACAAGCTTAGATTTGCCCACCTGTCAGGTTTTAGACCATATGAGGCACTGCATGTGTTTTAGGATATAACTCAGGTTTTTGAGCACATTTTGTTATTATTGTTCATTTATTCGTTTGCTGGAAATTAGAACTGAATTTAGAAATAGTTTTGAAACGAATATTTGCGCTTAACAAACAAAATTATTTATTTATAGGCTAATTGATGTCTGTGCGTAAAGGTTTCCCTATCCAAGAGCGAAAGTGAAAGTGATCCATTATCTCTCATTCTCACGCAGTAGATGCTCTGTTTAACTGTTTTCTTGTGAAATGCTCAGTTTTTCCACTTAGACTTACTTTGCGTCCTGTAAATAGTGAATGCACTCTTGGCGCTACGCAGCTGACTCTTAAAGGTAATGGGAGATGAGACTCTAATTGGTTTATTCTCAAAACACACCTATAACTCATTAAGAAAATAAACTCAACCCTTTTAGATCATGCGCCGAAGTGCAAGGGAGATTTCCCGTCCTTAAATTAGCAAAAACGCGTCCTGACACGCCCTGAAAGCGTTTGCACCCTGCGTTTTGTGCTCTGAGCATGGACCGTCAAAATAGAGCCCTTAATGTTAGTAATGGCGATGCAGTTGTGCAGTAGATAGTGCTGTCGCCTCACAGCAAGAAGGTCGCTGGTTCGAGTCTCGGCTGGGTCAGTTGGCATTTCTGTGTGGAGTTTGCATATTCTCCCTGCATTCCCGTGGTTTTCCTCTGGGTGCTTCAGTTTCCCCCACAGTCCAAAGACATGCGGTACAGGTGAATTGGGTGGGCTAAATTGTCCCTAGTGTGTGTGGATGTTTACCAAAGATGGGTTGCGGCTGGAAGGGCATTCGCTGCGTAAAATCGTGCTGGATAATTCGGCGGTTCATTCCACTGTGTGTGTGTGTGTGTGTATGTATATGTATGTATGTATGTATATATATATATATATATATATATATATATATATATATATATATATATATTGTATTACAGTCTCTTTGGTGTGTTTCAGGTGATCTCACAGCATCAGGACCTGCTTATCGCCGATCGGAACAGTACTGTTAACTACACTCTGCTGAGCAATGATAACGCTTTCCTGAGTTACCATCCGCACCCGTTCAGCCAGCGCACCCTCACCGCACGCTTTCAGATCAACAGCACAAACCCTCCACACGTGCAGATACTGAGAAAACCAGTCCTCACTGTCATGGGCCTGCTGGCACTGTTAGGTACAGAATAATCAAAGTTTATTTCTATTCAAACACTGTATTTCCCCTAATTTCTGTTTAATGGGGAGATGTTTTCAACACATTTCTAAACATAATAGTTTTAGTAACTCATCTCTAATAACTGATTTATTTTATCTTTGTCATGATGACAGTAAATAATATTTGACTAGATATTTATCAAGACACTTCTATACAGCTTAAAGTGACATTTAAAAGCTTAACTAGGCAGTTTAGGGTAATTAGGCAAGTTATTGTATAAAGATGGTTTGTTCTTTTTGTAACAAACTATATAGCTTAAAAGGGCTAATAATTTTGACCTTAAAACTTAAATTTTTTATTCTAGCTAAAATAAAACTAATAAGAATTTCCCCAGAACAAAAATTATTATCAGACATACTGTGAAAATTCCATTGCTCTGTTAAACATCATTTGAGAAATATTTTAAAAAGAAAAAAAATTCAATGGGGGCTAATAATTCTGACTCCAACTGTATATAAAAGGATTATGATCAGTCATCAGTGTTAGTAAATGATATTAAAGTTTAAAAAGTAAATAAAATGAGTCATCTTAAATATATAAATTGGTTTCATCAAATTTGTAATTAAATGTATAATAACTCAAATAAAAAAATATATAAAATAAATTATTATCAACATTATTCAATTTATTCATATAAAATTATTAATATTTTTTTTATGGATTGAGCCAAATATTGTATTTAGTGTAGTGCAGTTAATATTTATTCATATCATTTGTGTGTATACACATATTAAGTTATTTTATATGATGTAGTTTTTTGTTATATGTTGTTATTTTTGAAACAGAAAAATATTGTAGTTTTAGAAACTCTATTTAAATATATAATACAATAAAATGTCATATAATTCTGCATTTTTCTAATGCATTACAGTCATTTAAAAAACATACTGTGATATAAATGCATGCAAACATGAGAAATGAATCAGTATTTTTTGTTGTTATAATAATGCTATTTTAGTTTTTTATTTAATATAAGTCAAATTAATCTCGCTTGAATGACTTTTTTACTACTAATTTTACTACTAATAAAGTGTCTTTTTGGCTTAGTCCCTTTATTAATCCGGGGTCGCCACAGCGGAATGCCACAACCCATCTTGGGAAACATCCATACATACCCATTCACACTCAATACACTACGGACAATTTAGCCTTTCCAATTCACCTGTACCGCATGTCTTTGGACTGTGGGGGAAACCGAAGCACCCGGAAAAAACCCACACGTACACAGGGAGAACATGCAAACTCCACACAGAAACGCCAACTGACCCAGCCGAGGCTCAAACCAGTGACCTTCTTGCTGTGAGGCGACAGCACTACCTACTGCGCCACTTCGTCGCCTATTTTATTTAGTGAAATTAAATAATAGAATCAACTAATTTAGTACATCATTAATGATTTAATTATATCACGTTAATGATATATTAAATAATTAAATATAATATAATATTAGCCGAAAGTAAGGAAGCAAATAATAATTCACATTCAACATGAAATACTATTTTGTCATATATAGTGATATATTAACCAGCATCATTCATTTTTTCACTTTCCTTTAGCTTAGTCCAGGGGTCACCAATCTCAGTCCTGGAGGGCCGGTGTCCCTGCAGGGTTTAGCTCCAACTTGTCTCAACACACCTGCCTGGATGTTTCAAGTATACATAGCAAGACCTTGATTAGCTTGTTCAGGTGTGTTTGATTAGGGTTGGAACTAAAATGTGCAGGATACCGGCCCTCCAGGAACAAGTTTGGTGACCCCTGGCTTAGTCCCTTGTTTATCAGGGGTTTCCACAGTGGAATGAACCGCCAATTTATCCAGCATATGTTTTACCCAGCAGATGCCCTTCCAGTACTAGGAAACATTCATACACACTCATTCACACACACACACTACGACAAATTTAGTTAATCCAATTCACCTGTAGCTCAGGTGTTTGGACTGTGGGGAAGACCGAAGCACCCAGAGCACACCCATGCCAACACAGGGAGAGCATGGATACTCCACACAGAAATGACAACTGGCCCAACTGGTATTCGAACCAGCGACCTTCATGCTGTGAGGCCACAGTGCTAACCACTGAGCCACCATATGCGCCCATACACTATATGATATATTCAAAATATTGCAATTATTTAAAGATTAACGCAGTGGCCTTTAGGTAGTAGGTAGTGCTGTCGCCTCGCAGCAAGAAGGTCGCTGGTTTGAGCCTCAGCTGGGTGAGTTGGCGTTTCTGTGTGGAGTTTGCATGTTCTCACCACGTTTGTGTGGGTTTCCTCTAGGTGCTCTGGTTTCCCCCACAGTCCAAGGACATGTGGTACAGGTGAATTGGGTTGGCTAAATTTTCCGTAGTGAATGAGTGTGTATGGTTGTTTCCCAAAGATGGAAGGGCATCCGCTGTGTAAGACGTGCTGGATAAGTTGGCGGTTCATTCTGCTGTGGTGACCCCGGAATAATAAAGGGACTAAACCGAAAAGAAAATGAATGAATGGTGATATACTCATTTTTTATTCATTCACATTGCAGCTATCGTATGACAGAAACCTGCAATGCTGAAAACGGAAATCTAATGCACTCATTATGGGATCATTCTCATCTTGTTCCTCAGGCGAGACTCAGGTGCAGGCCGAGGTGTCTGATGTGAATGCGTCGGTGGGTTTGTTGGCCAGCGTTCACGTTCCTCAGGTGCCGTTCAGCGCAGACAGCTGGCAGAGCAGTGTCCTGATCTATAACAGTAGAGACAACCAGACCTCCACCTCCGATGATGTCATCAGTCTGCGCATCACTGGATTACCTCAGCGCCAGGGTCAGAAAACACGACTGAGCAGCCCTTGATAAAACGACCTGCTCGTGTTTACAGTTCTCTGCTGTCCTGTGTTTGTGCAGGTCTGATGTATGTGACGCACTACATGGACAATAATGTGACAAACCCATTCAAACTGTGGGAGAGCATGAGCAGACCGGACTATCCCACTGCACAACAGTTCACGCAGATGCGGAATCAGGAGGTACAACACACACACACACTCCATGACACACACTTACTGAGGTCATTGTAGCGTTTTACATCATTTTTATAAGAGTAAGTCATATTTGAATGCACACAAAACACTCATAATTTAGTTTTTTTGACTGTAAACATTTACAGAACAGCTTTTTTTCGCTGCTGTAGCTTTAAGACTTCTGTTTTCATATGCACAAAAAATAATTGGTGTAAATCTTTGTGTAAAACAGAAATACTAGTAAATTATACAAATAATTACAAGGATATGGCATCAGATGCAGTGTATTGAATATGAATTTGTGTAGAAAAACCTACATACTCTTTTCTTGCTAGTTTACTTGTGTTAATGAGCTCATGGTTGTAACATGGTGTTTATAATGAGCCAATCTTGAAGCTTAAACACGTATTTGGGTCAAAGATTAAAAGTGAACGATAAAAGTGCAGTGCTTTTAAAGTATTTAATACACACTCACCGGCCACTTTATTAGGTACACCTGTCCAACTGCTCATTAACGCAAATTTCCCAATCACATGTCAGCAACTTAATGCATTTAGGCATGTAGACATGGTCAAGACCATCTGCTGCAGTCCAGACCGAGCATCAGAATGGGGGAGAAAGGAGATTTAAGTGACTTTGAATGTGGCATGGTTGTTGGTGCCAGACAGGCTGGTCTGAGCATTTCAGAAACTTATGATCTACTGGGATTTTCACGCACAACCATCTCTAGGACTTATAGAGAATGGTCTGAAAAAGAGAAAATATCCAGTGAGCGGCTGTTCTGTGGGCGCAAATGCCAGAGGAGAATGGCCAGACTGGTTCCAGCTTATAGAAAGGGAACAGTAACTCAAATAAGCACTCGATACAACTGAGGTCTGCAGAAGAACATCTCTGAACACACAACACATCCAACCTTGAGGCAGATGGGCTACAGCAGCAGAAGACCACACCGTGTGTCACTCCTGTCAGCTAAGAACAGGAAACAGGATACAATTCACACAGGCTCACCAAAATTGGACAATAGAAGATTGAAATGTTGAAATTGTTGCCTGGTCTGATGAGTCTCCATTTCTGCTGCGACATTCGGATGGTCGGGTCAGAATTTGCCGTCGACAACATAAAAGCATGGATCCATCCTGCCTTGAATCAACAGTTCAGGCTGCTGGTGCTGGTGTAATGGTGTGGGGGAGATTTTCTTGGCACACTTTGGGCCCATTAATACCAATTGAGTATTGTTTCAACGCCACAGCCTACCTGAGTATTGCTGCTGACCATGTCCATCCCTTTATGACCAGAGTGTACCCATCTTCTGATGGTGACTTCCAGCAGGATAACGCACCATGTCATAAAGCGTGAATCATCTCAGACTGGTTTCTTGAACATGACAATGCGTTTACTTAAATAGCCTCCAAAGTCACCAGGTCTCAATCCAATAGAGAACCTTTAAGATGTGGTGGAATGGGAGATTCACATCATGTATGTGCAGCCGACAAATCTGCAGCAACTACGTGATGCTATCATGTCAATATGGAGCCAAATGTCTGAGTAATATTTCCAGTATTATGTTGAATTTAAGCCACAAAGGCTTAAATAAAGCTTAAATACCTAATAAAGTGGCCGGTGAGTGTATGCTTTAAATGTAGTTTATAAATGTATATATATATATATATATATGTGTGTGTGTGTGTGTGTGTTACAATGTGCCCTGCTCGATCAAAAACAAATTAGAACTAGGTAATTATTTTAGAAAACCAAAATCTTGTCAGTTATATTTAGCACAAGAATCATTTGACGACATATTAAAGAATCTATTTAAGGATCGCTGTGTAGCCCTACAATACACGTCTTTTTTTATCTTTATCGTTTTTAATCATATCCTCATACCACAATCATTCAAACCTGCATGAGAGTGCTACATTATTTATCTTTATAGATTTGACAAAAGTTAAATGAAACATTAAAGTAGACGCAACATGCTTCCTGTGTATGCAAATCACTTTTGTATTTTCAATTTGATGTCTACACCACAATGTGATGTCTTGCTTTGGACCGATCTTTATAACACATGAACACTGTATGTCAGAGTAAATAAAATAAAGAAATTCACCTTGCTGCAGGACCCGCAGACTGATGGGCCTCTGCCAGTCCCATCTGATGGCTCTCTGATGCTGAAGAAAAGCCTTCCCATCCCTTCAGTGCTGCTCGTACACATATGTGCTCAGTCTGAAGAAATGCCCAACCAGGTTTGAATCCAATTCAATTCATTATGCTAAGATTATGCTAAAGTGACCCCGCCAATACAAGAAATCGACTAAATGGATTCAAATACGGTTCAGGTCCACTGTCAAATACAAACAAAACTTTTTCATAAAAAGGTGGAGTGTTCCTTTAAAATGGTTTATTTATCTGGATCTGACCATTAGCATTTTGTGTAATATTGCACACTGTACCTGTAACTACAGAAGACTTGAGCTTTAAATTGGGAAATGATCAACTCCTTTTTTTTGCCGGTCACTAGCTCTCTGCAACTCTCACATGGTAGTCTACTACAGCTAAGCAGAGCTGCGCCTAGTCAGAACCTGGATGGGAGACCAAATGGGAAAGCTAGGTTGCTAACGGAAGTGGTGTTAGTAAGGCCAGCAGGGGGCACTCAACCTGCGGTCTGTGTGGGTTCTAATGCCCCAGTATAGTGAAGGGTACTCTATACTGAGCACCGTCTTTCGTTTAGACGTTAAACCGAGGTGTTGACTCTCTGTGGTCATGATAAATCCCAGGATGTCCTTCGAAAAAGAGCAGGGGTTTAACCAAATTTGTCCATCATGGCCTCCTAACTATTCCCATATCATAATTGGCTTCATCACACTGTCTCCTCTTCAAAAATCAGCTGTTGTGCTGTCTGGCGCAATATGTCTGCCATCGAGTCATCATTTGTGGATTCCCCCCAATGTGTAAAGCGCTTGAAGTGTCTAGAAAAAGCTATAGAAATGTAAGGAATTATTATTTTTTTTTTATTAAAATGCTAATGGTCTAATCCGATTCAACTCATTATGCTAAGCTAAGCTTAAAGTGACCCCACCAATGCAAGAAATCGGCTGAATAGTTTAAAAAATGGTTGAAGTCAATTGTTCAACTCTAGGCTTGTAAAATTTTGCCGTTTTTCCCTAAAAAGCTGGAGTGTTCTTTTAACTGTCCTTTGTGTGGCTAATAACATCATACACCCATGACTTTGCTACTTTTGTCCTCTCTCTGTTTGTTTTGTTCGTAAGAATACCTTAAAGTAAGTGTTGCTTGTTGTTTGGGCACTTATTCATGCATTTTAATATACTATTAGCACTTAATAATATATTTATATTCTTTTTTTTATTGTTGATTTAACATGTTTTTACAACCAATTCTTCCAGACCTCTGACATTGATTGCTGCTGATTTATAAAATTTGCATAGAAACCTTCAAAATAGTGTTTGTACACCAGAATAATTTTGTATTTATTTATTAGTGCTGATTATGGTTTATATGATTGTTTAAAGTGCTTTGAATCGATCCGAAGCGCACTTATCTCCCCTTCCCGTCTCCCCCGACAGCCCAACATTACATTCGGGCCTGGGCACACTTGCGTCATCAATGATGTGCTGTTCAGTAAGAAGCGAGCTCTCTCAGCACAGTGGAGATTTCTTTAGTTATTAAGTTTTAGTTGTTTGAGATGTGGTGACACCTGGTCCACCTGGTGCAGGAATTAGGAGGTTTGCTGAAGGTGCAGCTGTCGTGCAGTGAGGGGTTTACCTCTTTAATAATCTATAACAGTATGTGTTCATTAAACAATAAGAATGATTAAAAAAAACATATGAAACAGTCCCTTAAAAGTCACGTCTCGTAATGCGCGATTTGCACTCACATTACAAGCCCAAGTGAATTGCGCTCTGGCACACCTCTTCCAACCAGGCCAGGGCCGAGCTGAACCGTGCCTGGGCCTGATTCAGAGCACTCACACTTCTCAAATGATCCAGGAAACGGGCCTGGGCACAGTTCGGATAGCATAGTGTGAGTGTGCCCTAAATGTTAAATAGTGAGACCTGTCATAAACCACAAGTGTCAAACTCAGTTCATGGAAGGCTGCAGCTTTGCAGTTTAGCTCCAACCCTAACCTGATCAAACTAAATGAGTGCTTTAGGCTTGTTTGATACCTACATATAGGTGTGTTGAAGCAGGTCTGCGGCTCTCCAGGAATTGAGTTTGACACCCCTGCTTTAAGGCATTATTGAACCCGCTAATGAATTTAATATGGTGTGATGAAGAAATCACATTGTGTGGTGAATTGACCTGCAACTCAACGCCCAAAACACTGTTACTCTAATTAATGTGTCTGTCTGGGCATGACATTAATTAAAGAGTGTGATTACAAAACCTCTGCCTTCCAGGTTATTTCCATGCAGATATTGTGAAAGCATGTGGTTTGGTTTTAATAATGCAGTAATTGTTCCGCAGGTAAACGGGCTGCGTTTCATCAGCATCACCAAAGGACAAGTTCTGATCATCTGGAAGGATCACTGCGTCGGCACCAAGTGAGAACTATTGAAGTTCAGCAGATCACCAACATAATTCATTTATAAATGGGCTAGATTTAATTTGCCTGCCGTTTTAGGTGTATAAAAACATATGAAGTGGAATTCTCCAGAGATGAGTCCACATTCCTGAGGATTAATCACAGAGACACTATTTTCACATACTTCACTTACTCTCCAGGTATACATACTTTTGCCTAGAGCAGAAGTGTCCAAACTCGGTCCTGAAGGGCTGGTGTCCTGCATATTTTAGTTCCTACCCCAATCAAACACACCTGAACCTGCAAATAAAGCACTTTCTAGGTATACTAGAAACTTTCTGGCTGGTGTGTAGAAGTTAGAGCTAAACTCATCAGGACAACGGCCCTCAAGGACTGAGTTTGGACACCCCTGGCCTAGAGTTTGAGTTAATTTTGACTTAAAGCATTGATGCATGTATTGACGGCCTGTGTTTTTCCCTCTGTAGAGAGTCTGGAGGTGAGCGGTTTTTACAGAGCGAGAGCTGTGGATTACTGGGGACGAAATGGAGAATATTCTGTCACAGAGGAATATTCAGAGAACCGGTAGTCACAGTTAGGTGTTTGACTTTCCACACACACTATAGTTAGTTAACTAGGTATCTTATTTTACTTAAATCGCACTAGTTAGTACATAATGGCTTGAATAACAAGGAACAGTGCTCAGCATAATAGAGTACACCCCATTTTGAAAATGAATCTTTTATCCATTTCCCAGTGAATAAGGTAATATATTTTGGTGCATTTAAACAAAACAGATATATTTATTAAAATAATATTTTAGTCACCAAACATCTTTATAGATGGAAATAGAAAGATAATACATTTAAATGTCAAGCAAAATGTTGCAACAATTTTTTTTACAAACTACAAAATTTTATATATTTTTAGCTACAATTGATTTTTTTTTCCTCTTGTTTTAAATTTTAATTAAAAAATTGTCCCCAACAAATTTGGAATACTAATTTTTGATCTGTGTTAATGTTTTTTTTTTTTTAATGTCATGTCAGATTAGCTCCAGATTTGGCATCAGTACTGTTGTAGTTTCCGGCTGTTCCATTAATAGATTAGCTCCAGATTTGGCTTCAGTAGTGTCATAGTTTCCAGCCGTTCGATTAGTCAATCAAACTCCTCCTGGAGGTTATATAATATTGGAACGCATCCTATAGTACAATATGAAATTAAGGATTTAAGTTTGTACTCCTATATGCTGAGCACTGTAACATTTCCATCTTGTACTTTTGGATTTACGTCGAATGCATCAGTTTTATTCTGATTCAGGAATTATGGACTGTGGGAAATGACATTTATAAGTTGTATTAGACAAAACTCACAAAAAAAAAACAAAAAAAAAAAAAAATATATATATAAATATATATATATATATATATATATATATATATATAAACCCAACATTTGACTCAAAATATTATTTGTCCAGTAATTTTTATAATTACATATTAAAATATAATAATATTATACATTTGTTGCCCGCTACCTTAAAATTGCAAAGAAATCCATCATAATGTCTCTCGAAACATTAATATTTGTAAAAACTAAATAATAACAATGTAGTATTAAAAATTTGTTTCCAACCCATTACCTTAACATTGTCAATATTGTTTTAACTAGCAGCCTTTTATAAGTCTTTGTACAGTCACTCACTAGTAGCTCAAACCAAACAGTCATATTAATCGTTATTTAGACCATTTCAATGTGGTCATGTCATTGGCCCATGAACATTTCCTGCTTTTCAAACTATTTCATAACTGTAACAAGAGGCAATTCAATAATATCTTAATGTTAAAACAGCTATCATAACATTATCAACATGAGGCTGTTTTTGGATTCTTAGACGCTACAGGAATTTAAAATATGTAAACCCGGAAATACGCTGGGACCATTGTTTTTGTTTACATCTCTCAAATTGCTCTATATGTAATGTGTATTTATATAGCACATTTATTGTGTATGGCCATACACCCAATTCCTGCTATCTATGAATTTTTTTTACAAGAGAAAAAGTTTAAAATCAACTACGACTGTTTTAATTCAGAGTTTGATAACCTGGACATTATCAAATAGTTTATAGATCAAAATATACACGACATAACGGATTACCATTTTATTAATAAATATTGGTGTGGATGATTACCAAAGTGAAAGTCTTATTCAGTGTGTATTAATCATGTACAACATCTGTCTCTTCTGTAATTGAAGGTATTCGGGAAAAGAACAAACCAGATCAGAGTAACTGTATACAAGGTCAAGCTCATATATTTGCATGTATTCAGAGACTATTTCACAAAAAGGAACATTAATCTGACATTAAATATCTGTGGGTGGTGTGAAAAGGGCACCGTAAAACCAAAACGGTTGATTACAAGCACCGTCCTTTATCCAGACAGGAATCGATTATGATGGAAACTTCATTTTGGGCAGCTCATTTCAGGATTGTGTCCTCATTAGCTGATGAATAAGCAAAAATAGGAGTCATTGGGACCGAATGAGCAGAGTATTCAGAGTTTAACTGATGAGGAGTCACTTTATACATCTTAATACCTTCTGCTAGCTGTTTAGCGATGCGCTCCTGCTCCTCTCGCACCTTCTTCTCCTCCTCTTCTATTCTCCTCTCCTCCTCTGCAATTGGTTTCAGGTTATCTGGGGATAAAGGAAGAGGAATTTAACTAAAATGCAAGATCTTTACAGAGTGTGTAAACATTTTGAAACATTCAGCATCCGATACAGTAACATTTATGCCCTGAAATCAAATGTACTTATCTAATATTTATATGAATGTTGTTGTTTTTGTTATAAACCATGCATCCATGCACCTATTTATTTTGTAAAAATGAATTGGCCTATAAACTTTAATCAAATACTATAACCTTCTCTTCCCCTTTAAAAGGACAATTTTAACATCCGTTTTATGCCGACTTTAATTGGTTAGACTTTTGTCCATAGATTATTACTAGGCCCACACGGAATCTGCGCACGCAGAATTCCTGCAGATTTTTTAGCCCATTATTAATTCTGTTTATTTACTTGATTAAATGTGTAAATCTGAATTTATTCAGTTTTTATTCAGTAATTTATTCATTTTAATTTAATATATTAAGGTTTTAGTTATGATACTCCACTGGATACTCCCAAAGTAATTCCGCAGAAATCCGCAGATTTTTACCAAAATTCTCCGCAAAATAGCAAAAAATGTCTGCAGATTCCGTCTGGCCCTAATTATCACTAAGAATGTGTATATGGTGAACTTGGTTAACTCTGACAACAAATTAATAAAAACTGGATGTATTGTTGATAATCAGATGCAAGATGATGTATTGTTGATAATCATCAGATGTAAGATGATGATGATTTGGTATTCATATTATTTTTTGCATTGCAATTTGCTTAAATAACAAAAGGAAAAACTCCATGATGGTGTTTTCACAACCTTCTGTGAGACTGATAACAGCTTAACTGAATTTAAAATATAATAACAGATTTAAGATGCTCATGGCAGCTTATTGTGCATGTTTGAAGAAGAAACTCAATTTTGACAAAACTTTTTATTTATCTAGGAAATGCCACTTGATTTAATTTATAAACGTTTGGACTAGAAACAAGACACAACCAACAAATTAGAAAATCTTTTTTGTCTGAGAATTCTGCTCTTTATCTTATTCAGCTGTAAAACGATTGAACTGTAGTTTTTAGTTAAAATAAAAAATTGTAATGTTGTCAAACCCTGAGGTTGTTGGGTTGTTGTGCAGTATGTCAGTCATATATAAGTAAAACATGGTAAAACTGAGGTAAAGTTGGTTTTATAATCACACATTCAGACTTTCTCCTTAATAATATCACTTCAGAAAGGTATTATTTGCAAATTCTAAACAGTGAAATCATATTAGCAGCCCATGAATATCAAAGTACAGCACTGTTCACAGTCAAATAAATAGTGCTAATGTTATTTTCAAGTCATATTTACATGTGATTTCAGAACCTATATTTAAATTAGCATAGTAGCGCTATGTTAAATGAAGGAATACGCGAATATAAAACCAACTTTACCTCAATAAAAAAGTATAGTGCAAGTGACTTACAAGTCGGCCACAAAGAGTCTGCATGCGCAGAATTTCACAGATTTTTAGTAGGGATGGCTGACGTGAAACTGACGTTTCGACACAGTGTCGAGATCCCGAAGCGCAAGTGTTTCGAAACACTGCACCGAAGCATGATCCGAAACACCCAGGTCACGTGACTAAAGTGTTTCGAAACACTTGGTCACATGACAAAAGCGATTCAAAGCATCGATCATTTCAGAGGCGTTTCAAGACACGGAGAATCTGCATTTGACTGGCATGATCTTTAATATAATTCTACCTAGTATGGCCTAGTGGACCGTGCGTGTACACTATGGTGATGTATTTCAAATTTATTTTGGGTTCGAATCTCGACTAGTACAAATGATTTTATGTATTTTAATCATGTTACTGTTTTATGGTGTAGCCTAGATAGGATACAGCTGCGGATATGCCATCAATTTAGCATCATTTTTGTAATACTGTAAAACAATAATTCATATTTTTACAGTACTGTGATGGGTTTAGGTTTTGGATAGACGTTAATAAAATACAATGGGAAATTTAATTAATAATATAAATAATTGTTAACTTCTGGCCACAACTGTATCTGATCTAGTAACAACCCTGTTTTATGAACAAAACAATACAAATTTATCTACAAGGTGTTTATTCAGATGTCAGAGCAATGTTGAAACAAAACGATACAATAACAAAGCATTACCTACTGGTAATAAAGCATTTCAAAACAATTGTGTTAGCCTGGATTCGAACCCATTATTCCCACATGAGAGTCACATACTCTAACCGCTCGACTAAACCATTTCATTAATCAAGGCTACAAAGTGGAGTTTGATACCTCAATTTGCTCAACAGTTCTTTGCTGAAGCTGCATCAGTGCAATACAAATAAAATGACCACTAGGTGTCACCGTAGAGTGGTGTTTCGAAACGTTTCGAAGCTTCGACACATTTGCTTCGATAGTTTCAGTGTTTCACGAAGCCTCGCTTTGCCCACCACTAATTTTTAGCCCATCATTGATTCTGTTTATTTACTTGTGTAATTGTGTGTAAATTCATATTTATTCAGTTTTTAATGACAGTAATATTACTAATAAAATATTAATTTTATTTATTTATAATACAGTTTGTAAAGTAATTTTTCTGTCCTTTAGTAGATATATTATACGAGACTTGCTTTGTTTACCAAATAAAGTGGATCTAATTATATTTGCATTGTAAACATTAAATAGATGTTAAAAGGTATTACTTTTTATTTTATAAATTAAAGTTTTAGTTATGATACTCCCAAAATAATTTCACATTAATCCACAAATTTTTAACACAATTCTGCGCAGAAATAGCAAAAAAAAAAAAAAAAAAAAAAGTCTGGTCCTTAGCTGTAATAAGATATTTAGTGGTTTTTACATTTGTTTGAGGGTTGATGGTTCAAATGAAGCTGTATTAATGTTATCAAACTCTGGGTTATTAATGTGCAGTATCAGTCACTTATGAGGAAAACATGGTACAGCTTAAAATAATTGTTATTATTTATCAAATAAATGCGTGTTGATGATTTATTAACGTATGAAAAGTCTTTCAATCTACAGAGTGTCATCTGAGCGCCTGTCAAACTGTTTCTGTCAAACTTTCTGCTCCTTACCATATCTGCGCTTTCCATAGATAATGCCAACGAGCAACGCAGACCACCTGGCAGTCTGAAAATGAAAATAAATCATCATTAATATCAATAATCATGCGTGTATGAACAGAAAAAGGAAAGAAACACCATGACATTCAGCACGAAGGCCGTTCCAACAGACAGCAACGCTTCACTGTCCTCTGAGGGGAAACACGACAGCGGGAGCCACATACACGCTTTCCTTCGATCAAACAAGTAATAAACCACTTAAATAATGTGTTTGAGAAGACAAACCTTAATCAGTGGCGACACTTGCACTGGAGGAACCATTTCGCTGGACTTGAGGACCGCTTTCAGTCTGCAGAGGTCAGAAACGCGCAAGAGCACAAAGAAGAAGAAGTGGCACTTATATGAGCGCGCTGACATCACACCGCCACCTAGAGGACTGGCGCGAAAACGCGTTGTCGTCGACGGGTCAGAAAAACAGGTTAGTCATACGTTTTTTTTTTTTTACCATAGATATAGTAGCCTAATGTTTAGATGTTCATAGATATGGTCTATGTTTTATTACTCGTTAAATGTTTACATTACTATATGTACATTCTTATGTTC